CCTGCCCTCGTCTCTCCGGTTCTCTCGAACCCTTTTCTCCCTGGATCCACCACCCCCGCGCTTCGATCCCTCCGGACGCCTAGGGTTCCGCTCTCCCACCGTATTCATTCCTGATTGGAATCCTCTTCACCTCTAGCGGAGGAAGAAAGACTTGATATTGGAGGTGAGTTGTCGGTGCTGCTTCTGGCTTTTGTTTTCTATTTCGTTTCTTGTTTTGAGCCCTAATCTTCGAAGTAGCTGACCTTTTCGTTATCCCCTTTTCACGATTTAGGGTTCGTACCTGAAATAACATCCTCGTCAAGAGCGTAGGTTTTTTGAGCTGTAGAATCGATGGAAGCCGATGGCGCAGCCGCTTCGTTTCCCCTGGCAAAGTGGAGAAGCGACTTCTCCAGGGCGTTCCAGCACTACCTGGATAAATCGACTCCTCATATGACTGGAAGATGGCTTGGTACTGTTGGAGTCGCGGCGATCTACTTCCTGCGAGTTTACTTCGTCCAGGGATTTTACATCATCACCTACGGGCTCGGGATCTATCTGCTTAATCTATTGATTGGGTTCTTGTCTCCTCTGGTGGATCCGGAGATTGAAGTTTCTGACGGCCCCGCCTTGCCTACAAAGGGCTCCGATGAGTTCAAACCCTTTGTTCGCCGTCTTCCCGAGTTCAAGTTCTGGTAAACTTTAACCTGTTTTTTCTTCCTCGTCGAAAATTTTCAGGCATTTGCTTTTTTCCTCATTCTGCTTGCTTTGTTTTTCTTTGAAATCTGTAAACGTAGATCTGCTTTTCCATAACTCCCCTCAACTTCAGAAAGAAAAATTAATCGTTGGATAACTTGCGATGAGTAAATAGAGTTGTTCTAGCTATATGTACTTCCACAGGGTTGTGAGCCTCTGTTATCCATTGGAATGCGCTACAGAGGAATAAGGAATGTATAGTTTTGATGGTTTTTGGTGATTCCTCCATTGCTTCAGTGACCTTTGGTGCCCCCCTAGCCAAATTCTTATTTTGGTAGCATAAATGGTTCTAATGTTATATAGCCAATAATGTTTGATAGATTCCGCAGGATGTGTTTCAATCCTACTCTAACCGTTTAACACTACGCCACGTAATCCCACCTATTTTTTATTGGAAGAGAAGTCGGCAAGAAATGAGAAGGATGGAAGGCGTATGATATGGTATTACAAGGAGGCACATGGCTACCACAAATTTGCCTCCCCTTTTGTTCTTCTTCCTCATTTTCCCCGACGATTTAAATTCGTTCACCTGCATTCTTTAGATCCTTTTGTGCAAACTCATGCACCATTCTCCAATCATCAGCCAATCACCATACTTTTGGTCTTATCCTGGGCCAACTTCAGCAGGTTCCCAGGTTTCTGGGCTAATTTTAGCAGACTATGGATTAAGTGCTGACCCAACAATCCGATTCAGTCAATCCATTATTGTTATCTGCCAAGAGTTCCTGAACATTCGCTGTGTATGACTGGGAATATTCTTTTTATTAATAATTGTATGTTAATAGTCACACATGTAACACTCTCTTTTTCTATTAGCCTGAAGTATCTACAAGGATGACAAAGAATATTTGTGAACTTACTTGATTTAGCTTTTATATCCTATTTGTTTTCTCGAGGAATAGTGAACATAAGATCAAAGCATTCCAAATTTGCAACAAAGAAATATTTACCACAGTTTATTTTTTTGTTATTTGGATATCTGTATTTTTTTTCTCATCATGAGGATTAGGATATCACATTTTCAAGAGTGTCGGTAAGTCACCGTGAGACCAGAATTGGTCTGTGATGGCGACACAGTGGATGAGGATTTTAGAGCATCCCCAGTAAGCAGAGATGAAAATGATCAGCGACAAGGGTAGTGGCAAGCAAGTTAACAATCCAGTATCTGATCATGGTGTTGGATTACGGCCTGGAATCATGTCATCTGACATTTACTTTGGTATCCAAATCACCCCAATGACCTTAGTTGATAGAGCCTGAGCTTGTTCAAGCCCAAAACTATTATGCAAATGTTATTTTTACCACAAATTTTTGCCCAAGTTATTTGTCTGTGGTCTTGGAGAGGCTTTTTTATCCTGTTTACTCGAGCAATATACAATTGTGGATGCATGCATGTGTAGACATGCAACCATGCAAGAGACAAATAAAGTGATTGTTTCTTTCTATCTGCAAATATAATCTCTTAATTTGTATTTTCTAACTGTTAGCGATTGTGAACTGTTTTATCTGTTTGTTTCTATTTATATTTTGTTTCTGATGAATTTTCTCCAGTCTGTGGTGGAGACTGTGAACTTAACTAGCTGAAATTCATTTTTCCTAGGTATTCCATAACAAAGGCCTTCTGTGTTGCTTTTGCAATGACTTTCTTCTCCGTGTTTGATGTTCCTGTCTTTTGGCCCATACTAGTGTGCTACTGGATTGTTCTTTTCGTCCTAACAATGAAGCGCCAAATTGTACACATGATCAAGTACAAGTACGTGCCATTCAACATAGGGAAGCAGGTGAATACAATAAAACTTCATGTTGCATCATCTGACTGTTCCACTTTCTTTGCATGAGTTCTTTATTATGAGATTCGAATGAATGGGAGCCTTAGACTCCTAAGGATTGAGATCTAAACTACATCTGGTGCCCGTATAGGGGGGTAAGTAGCTTTAGCTGTATTGTTGAGATCAATAAGCACTTGGCTTTGGAGGCAGCCCAAAAAGTATTTTATTCAGCTTAAAATTAACTAGCTTGAATACTTAAATTTTTAACCTGGTTTTAATGGTTTTGAATCAGAAATATGGAGGGAAAAAGGGTCCTGGAAGCAGCAGTCTGTCCAAGGATTGATGGACGGTAGGAGGAGCCAAGGGCAGGGCACTCGTATATGTAGTAGCATTACTGAGATTGAGATGACTATCGGTCCGCCGGACCCCTCAAAGGAGGACAGCTATTTGTTGGGACCAGTTATTACCTATGCTTACACATTGTCATCCTCTCACTCTTTCTACTTGTTTAGCTAATGTAGCTAATGCTGCCCGTGGTGCTATTGTTTGCACGATAGCTAATGTTTTCAATATTCTTCAAGATTCCACCAGAGCATAAACTGGTTGATCATGTTATTTTGATTAGTAAGATTTCCCGATAAAATTGAGGCGCTGTTAACTTTGTCCATCTTCCATCGATCGATCAGGAAAAATGAAGCTGGCTTCACCTGCTGGACCGATGAGCACTACTTTTGGAAGATGATTTTTATATGGTCAGTAGTTTGCTCATTTCCATTTTTTGTTCAGCACGATCAAGAGAAAGAGGTGCGGGCCCCAACATTAGTCTTGGAATAGGTGAGTCACAAGTATGGTTCTTCTTTCCTTCCTTTTTGGGTTACGAAAGTGACTTAAGATAGACGAGAACAAAGTATCGATAAAAGACATATTCTGCTGAAGGAGGATCTCACATTCTAAAATAAATCCAAACTTGGGTGGGCATGCAGATCTCCTGAAAAGCAATCGGAATTCCCAAGGGCAGCAGATCTCCATGAAGAGATGATGCTTGGATAACCCCATCCCGAGGCACAAGAGACCAAAAGATGGATGGATTCTGCTTTAATTTCATAATAAGTAAATAAAAGATGAATAAGTAGTGTGGAAATCTCAATTAAAATTTCCAAATCACTGCCTTTTTCTTTTAAGAATCAAACGATCCTCGTCTTTTAGAATTCTAATAAATCTCCCTCCTTTCCCCCTTTTTTGGTTGGTAGTTAAGAGTATACGGGCTGACAGCAGCTATCTTACAACCTCGGCCGTAAGTGTTATTTTTGGGTGTCACAAGAGAGGTATGTACACTCCCTAAAAAGTGTTTGGTCAAGGAATCATAGGGGGTGCTCGAGAAGCCTAATTCTTGCAGTGGTAGCAAAGCCTCCACCGACCGCTGGATCGACGTACAGCTAATTCTTGTGCTTTACACTTTCAATAAAGGGGGGGGGGGGAGGGGAGCACTAATTATTACTCTCATGTGCGGAAGGCCATCAGACGCTCTGGATGAGGACGGATCTCATAGGAGACAGCTCCTTGATCCAATCCCTAGTTTAATATTTATTCTCCTCACAGTCAATCACCTCTTTCTAAGTAAAAGTAAATAAATTAATAAATAAATAAAAAAGAGTTTTAAATTTCAAACCCTAAATCTGAACCGTGGAATGCCATTTCATTACATCCATGCAGCAATCGAGACAGGCGACGCAGGAGACCGACCGACCGGGCCACATGAATCCCAGTTGCGATGCCAGGCTTTTCGATTTGAAAACCACATGTGTCTCCTCCTCCGTGTTCCTCTAACGCTCACAGGATGAGCATCGATCACATGGGCCTCCTCTCCTGTTTTATATATGCACACACACCTCTCTCGCTCTCTCGACTGCTCGTCACTGTAAACTTAGCCCAAGGCTCATGATAGCTGGGGGGACCTACTAAGAGGCTCGCGTTCCGCCTTTGGAACTTTGTCTTGGTTCGAAGGAGCCACGCCACTTGGTACCTCTCCTTTCTCACACCTCCACTCGGAGATGATCTCCAAGACGCAAAATCTGACTTGCCTTCATCATCCCTTGTGAATCTACACCACGGTCGATTTAAGTTTTGTATCTCCGTTTGGGATTAGGGGGCAATTCTCAAGGCTACGGTGGAGCAAACGGAACATAACAAGAAGACGCCAAGAGCAAGGGTGATGATGATGATGAACAAGGAGAGTGAGGACAAATGGTGCTTGGGTTGTGCACCCATGATTTCTCAGTCAAAAACTAGTCAGACGTGATCTGATGAAACGACATGGTCAGATGGGTGGTTGGATTTGAAACTGCGCCCCTGAGCGATCCGACTCACATGCAGCGTTCATAGATTTGTGCTAATCGAAGCCCAGCCTGCGTCGTCTAGTCATCAGTGTTGGATCCCCACTCTCTCTCTCTCTCTGTCATCCACATTTTCTGAAACGCATTTCAAGTCTTTTTCTTTCTCATTTTTTTCCTAATTGAAAAGGCAGCATTTCTTTTGGGGGGGTTTCTGTAGCCTCTCAAAATTCAATCTGCACAATAAATAATGTTGCCTTCGACCAACACTTGCAGCCACTCCAGATTTAGAGAGAGAGAGAGAGAGAGAGAGAATCAAGGAAGGAGAAAGGAGTAGCCTTCGACCAACACTTGCAGCCACTCCAGATTTTGAGAGAGAGAGAGAGAGAGAGAGAGAGAATCAAGGAAGGAGAAAGAAGTATATATATACATATGTATATATAGCTTTTGGGTGGGTAAAGGTTGGAGTCTTTTTTTGGGATCCAAGAGGTTCTTGGTGGGTGCAACCTCTCTGAGGGCTTCGTTCTCCGCCAATTGGTGTTTTGTTTCCATCTGAGCCGAGCAAAAGGGAGGAAATTTTCTTTTGGAAGGAAGAAAGAAAAAAGAAAACGATTTGATTCGATCGATCGATGTTTCTTTGGCGGACGAAAGCGATGAACTAACAAAAGTGGAAGGTAAGTCGGTTTGCCTTTTGCGATCACCCTCGTCGCCCGTATCTCTACTCTCCCTCGGTTCTTGAGAATCCTCGAGAAATCTACATCCTCCTACCTCCGTCGGAGGAGGAAAAGAAAGCGAGAGAAAATGTGGATGGAGCGAAAAAGATGGCCACCCCTTTCTTGTTCTTCGCTGATGTCTGCCATGCTTTTTCTTGTTTCTTGATCACAGAGTCTCATCCGCTTCAGATTCTTGAGAAACCTAAGCTGGCTGTCGGCTTCGGAGGGAAGGCGGAAGGCTTGAATGGAGACATCTGTAATCTTCCCTGATTCATAGGGAGGAGGAGGAGGAGGAGGAGAGAGAGAAGCGCTTTCCTTGGATTGCGTTCTCTCCGGATCTAGTTAATATCAAAGACTGCATCTTTGATTGATGCGGTTCAAATGCCAAGAACTCCCTTTTGATTCAAGCTTCGCCCGGCGGTCTCTCCTGATCCTGCTGCAATCCCTCATACTTTCGGATCCGTGTCTAACGAACAAGGGGTGGGCGAAATGCCGCTTAAGAGCCTCGTCCGCGAGCTGAAGGAGATGCGGGACGGCATGGGGAGCACGCCCAGGAGAGGAGGCGGCGGCGTAGGAGGTGGAGCCCCCGCCACCGAAGGAATGATGTACGGGCACAGCCGTGGAGATGCCCGGCATCAGTGGTCCGGTCGACTGGAGCCGGAGCAACAGCAAGGGAGGTGGGCGAACCTGCCGCCGGAGCTGCTGTTGGATGTCATCCGGCGGGTGGAGGAGAGCGAGGTGTTGTGGCCGGCGAGGAGACATGTGCTGGCGTGCGCCGCAGTGTGCCGTTCGTGGCGGGACATCACGAAGGAGGTGGTCAAGACCCCCGAGCAATGTGGCCGGATCACCTTCCCCATCTCCCTCAAGCAGGTTGCCTTCCTCTCCCATCTCCTCCATCTTACATTTAGCTTCCAGGCTCACATAGCCTGCGCTTTCTTCCTCTGAAAACTTCGATGGTTTCAATCTTTGTTTTAAATCTCGGCTCGTTTGTTTGAGATTAGCCTGGGCCTCGAGACACTCCGATCCAATGCTTCATCCGAAGGGAGCGAGCGACATCGACCTTCCTCTTGTTCCTCGGTCTGAGCCCATGTAAGCCATTTTCTCTGTTCCTTGCTCTTTGTTTCAGAAATGATCCTGTTGTGAATGAATACTTCTCGTGATCTCGTTCTTGCATCGCCCAATTTGTCGAAATTTACTTGTGATTTGTCATCACTACGCCGGAATTGCTTCCATCAGTTTCTTGAACGATTCATTCATGCGTAAATTTGCCGACTTCGTCAAACCAGAACAAGTCAAGAATGGTGGAGTGGGTGTGGGTAGCAGAGTTGGATTGCTATGCATAACTTGCACATGTCCAGCATCGACACCGTTCCTTTAGATCGATTGGTAATGTTGGTCACCATCTTTGATCCTTGCAGCACTGCAGGGACAGAATGACAAGCTTTTGCTGGCAGCACGCAAGATCAGACGCGCAACCAGCACCGACTTTGTGATCTCGCTGACCGCTGATGATTTCTCTCGAGCTAGCAGTAGCTATATTGGAAAAGTGAGGCAAGTGATCTCCTCTGCTTTCACTCCGAATCGCATCATCTACTCCTTGCTGATTCCCTTACTGCCTTTTTGGGATCTTCTCCAGGTCAAACTTTCTGGGAACCAAGTTCACCGTCTATGATAGCCAGCCTCCTCATGACGCTGCAATGTCTTCGAGCAACCGTTCCACTCGAAGGATCCACTCCAAGCAAGTTTCGCCGAGAGTGCCTGCCGTCAATTATGGCATCGCTTCCATCTCTTACGAACTTAACGTCCTGCGAACTCGAGGGCCGAGGAGAATCCAGTGCACGATGCGCTCGATTCCCATCTCCTCCATCCAGGAAGGTGGGAGCGTCCCAACGCCCACGAGTTTCCTTCACCCCATTATTAGCCAACGAGTCTGCTGCAGCTTAGCGGTGGCAAAGGGCAAGCAACCTGCGATAGATGATGTCTCTTCCACCCCAGCAAGTGCACCTGTCCGGACTAATGGGGAGCCACTCGTTCTGAAGAACAAAGCCCCCAGATGGCATGAGCAGCTTCAGTGCTGGTGCTTGAACTTTAGAGGACGAGTCACAGTGGCTTCCGTCAAGAATTTCCAGCTCGTGGCAGCTGTGGTTCCTTCCTACGGCGTTTCTCCAGAAGAACAAGAAAAAGTGATTCTCCAGTTTGGGAAAATAGGAAAGGACATCTTCACCATGGATTATCGCTATCCCCTCTCTGCGTTTCAGGCATTTGCGATTTGCTTGACGAGCTTTGACACTAAGCCAGCATGTGAATAACGATAGGTACCCAACCATTTCCCCTGTTCTCTCCCGGATGTCTACTTCCTTCCTCAATATTCGACTGTGTTCTTCACCTGGGGAAAGTCCGGTTTGCAACTGCCGTTTGTCTAGTTTGGGATCTCACAAGGGGAGATGGTAGCCGTCGTCAAACGTTTATGGTGTCGCAACTGCTTGAGATATGCTTTTATGCTCTGTCCATATCTACAGCCCACCTTCGAATTAAGTGTCTCTTTTCCGACATTGTCATGTATTCAGACTGCGGAACTTGATTCATCTAATGTCTAGTTTGAAGAGGGTCTCACGTAGACACAATCATTATCTCAAGCTCTCAATGTTACGGTCGAAGTGCGAGTATGACCATTTCACGGTATGTTCAACGCAACTGTATCTTTAGTTTGTGGATGCAATCTCAGTTGGCCGGACTTCTTGTTCTCGTCGAGGCTATACCTAAGTGTGTGTTTGAGCTGGAGTTTTGTGAAAGAAGACTCCTCGAGGGTTGGATAGATTCTGTCTAGTCCTTGGATTTGTGAGGCATAGTTGGCTCGCTAGAAAGGAATTAGCGACCATCTCTCGATCAGCTGGCCTGGAATTAGGTTCTGCAATGGATATATTTAGCTTTACGTGATGATTCCCTGACTCCTCCATCGACGTATACGGAGGTCGCTGTGGCTCGTGATCGGCTTTGGATTAATCAGTTGGTCCTCTTTGCGATCGTTTCAGCTACTGTTTCCCCTTCTTGGCTGCTACGACTTGTCGATTTCAAGATCTTCTTTTTGTATAGATGTTGCGTGCTCCGTACCTTCTTATTGACGCCTGTTTACGGCTTGTCTTGTATCGAGAAGAGTGAGCATAAGATGCTACAAGATTCAATCTCAACTCCGAACAAAATATACACCTCCACGAAAATTGATCGAAAACCTTTCTAACCAAGAAATCAATGAACTCCTCCGAGGTAAATGGCTGCCAAGGACGAAGAGAGAACTCATGGCTATTATTTCCTACTGTACGTAGGACTTGCATCTATCGGGCGACGCCCACGAACGATCATTGCGGTCAAAGCAAGTAAAGGAGCACGCATTGTGAAGCTCATAAAAAGCCGTGCGCTACGGTTGAATCGCCGAGAAATTTCGCTGAGGGTGAGCTAAAATGTCCAGATTTTGAGGCGAACAGCGACGCTGTTTGATTCAAAATTAATGGTACGTTTGGAGGATTAATTATATATTATCTTTTACGGTTAATTATTTCATTTCTCATCTCCATATTTTAAAAAATAATTTATGTATTTTAATAATATCGATTTTATTAATAAAAATATAAAATTAAATAATTTTAATATAAATACATCCTCACGTCTCGTAATCGGTTTCCTCGTCCACGATAATTATCTCATGACTCTCGACAATACTATTATCATCATCGATTAAAATATTAATTTTTTTTATTTTTATATTTTCGTTGATAAAATATTATGATAAATAAATTTATATATTTCTCTTTCATAATTATAAAAATATTGATATAATTTTTTAAAAAATATAAAATTTAGGATACTAAATATAATTAAATAGGAAACAACATGTAATTAGCGCATGTGAAGGATGGGGTGCGTCGTATCAAAACTCAACCGAGTCAACTCACTGGTTGGGCGGTGGAGATCAGACATTGGCGGCCGGACGACAAAGGGGATGCCATCTCAGTCCCTCATCCCAACCGAAGGATCATCCGGTGATGGAACACTCGTAGTTCGCGTACATTCATGACGACAAAAAGACTTGATGCCTTCTAACTAAATCCATGCGTTGTGCGCCTGTTCTTTCCTGATGACATCTCTCCGTTTTTTGTCTTTCTTTCTATTATTAGTAGTACACACATAGATTGCATAAGGAAGGCGAGTAGCGGATGATGCAGAGAGAAAGCAGGAGAAGAAGAAGGAGAAGCGAGAAGAAGAGGTGCAATACTCTTTTTGGTTTCATCATCGTCGTCATAATTTTCATTATCACCACCATAAGAAGGAAAAGGAGGGGAATAAGAAGGAACGCGACCGAGGACGGCATGGAGACGCTGGATGAGGAGGTGGAGGAGTATAGCTGGAGGGACGTGGTGCTGCCGGCGTTGATCCCGGTGGTGCAGGAGCCGGTGGAGCTGGAGAGAGAGAGCAGGCAACGACGGCGCGGCCGGGACATCCTGGTGGCGGTGGACCACGGCCCCAACAGCCAGCACGCCCTCCACTGGGCCCTCGCCCACCTCTGCCGCCTCGCCGACACCCTCCACTTCGTCCACGTCGTCCACAGTAGGCTCTTCTATCCTTCCTCGGACATGTCCTCCACTTGATCTATTTTTCTCTAGGTGGAACACAACAAGTCGGTCTCTGTTTCTGCTTCTCTCTGTTCCGAGTGACACATCACAACTCCATAGGTGTTCAGGACGAGGTGGTGTACGAGGTCAGTAAGCAGCGAATGGACGAGCTGGCCGTCGAGGCCCTCCAGATTGCCATGGTAATGCTGCTGCCTTCCATCTAGCGCAGGATATGGCCATCGTAGCTAGCTGAACCAAACCACTTTAGCAGCCTTAAAGTTGCAGTAGAATATGAGTCCGATCCATACACTTTTCTCCTCGTAAACATGACACCAATTTATATACGTCGTAACGTCTCGCAACAAAGTAAAAGAACACGGGAATGCGTTCAGGTGAGGTCGCAGGGTCGCATCGTGGAAGGGGAGGCCGGGAAGATGATATGTCGAGAGGCGGAGAGGTTAAAGCCGGCAGCCTTGGTGATGGGAACCCGTGGGCGAGGCCGCATTCAAAGGTAATAAACCCCTTCCTTTTCTTTTCTTCCTCCCTCACGAACGCGAGCCATGAGACGACAGAATGACTCGATTTGCGCAAACATCGATCGTCATCGATTCAGGGCTTTTCTCTTTGTGTGTTTGCAGTGTGTTGCAGGGCAGCGTCAGCGAGTACTGCTTCCGTCATTGTAAAGCAGCACCGGTCATCATCGTTCCGGGGAAAGGTCGGCAGCAACGCCCTTTACACTAATTGTTTGTTCCATTACACCATCGGTGTGCATGCAAGGAATGGACCCTCTCTCGAAATCAAAGAGGGAAAGAAAAAGAACGGTGAAGAGAGCCCCCTATTGCATGTACTTCTCTAGTGATCAACAATCGATCAATCGCATCTTCTTTGCTTCGCAGAAGCCGGCGATCGGTCTGTCATCTGATGGAGCGCCGCAGGGAATTAGGTTGCCTTGTACCTGCTTTCGTTGATTATTTGGGTAATATCAGAACCAGCATCAGCCCGGTGGGTCGATGATGGCAATTTCTCGGTGCTACTCTTTCGTAGTTCTTGATTCGTATGCCCACGAATCAGTCTCTGCCCGACAGTGAAGCACCGGAAGAAACTTTGTCGTATTAGTTTGGCAAGTCCCATAGTCCAACATCGAGAAAATCAAACTTGTTATCTTCTATTAAAACTATAAACAAGAGTATGGGCTTTGAAGTTAGATGTACCACAAAAAAACCTAAATATTTACTTTGGGTTTAAGTCCACACTCATTAAATAGTTTGAACTTATATTTTGAGTTTTTTTTGTTTAGTATTTTCGGGTGTTTTATGACCTAGGAACATCTGAATGTAAATTTGACTGAATCATGTAAATTTGGTGTTCTTGTCGCTTTTATCTTTTCGCTTTATTGTCTTTGTTGTGTTGCCAAAATTACCTTATGGTAAATATCCTGAGACTAGCTCTAACACATGTTCTGTATGAAAACAGAAAAACCTAATATGTTAGGCTTATACGGACAAATTCCATTGATCGACTCTGCTGAAGATGGCTATCAATCATTCTGAGAGATGATTCGATGCACCTAAATAATTAAGAAGAACATCCGAGAGAAAATGGAAAACACTATTCTTCACATGTATCGACAAACTCGTTCTTTTCTTTCCTTTTTCTCTTTAGAGAGTAAAATCAAAACGGTAAACTGTCTTCTTTTACATTTTCACGGCCATTAGCGTCCGACTTCCACACAAAGATAAAGTTGAAGTTGGCGGACGGTCTTGAAAGTTACTTCGGCCAAAGCCAACTGCATCATGTGAATGCTTCATCTTGAAGATACCAACCAACGCAGCTAAATAACTCGGCTGCTTCTCCGTGGAAGGCGCATCGTCATTATTTCCTCCTCCTCGCCAAATCCTCATCCCTCAACCGAAAGCTCCAGGCCACCATCCGAAAGGAGGAGGACTGCGAGTCTCTCCGGTGAAGGTGACCTGAGAAATCCCCATTTAAACATGGACCCAACCGCGAGTCACATCCATCTCTCGCTGTCCACAAAACAGTACAAAGAGGACCCCGACATCCTCTCCTCCGTGTGTGGCGACGAGTCCCATACATACTACGGATATGTGTATATATATAATATATTACTTAGCATGAATAGTTCGGGAGCAGTGATCCCACCTCTCCATCTCTTTCAGCAACACAAGGCAAGGATGGTGACCCGAAGAAACAAAGTTCCGTGGCGAAGGTGGTGGCCTGGTGGGGATATGCATGGAAAGCTACTGCGCGTGCCGACCGGGGACCTATCCAGGACATGCAATGGCGATTAATTAGTTCAGATGTCTCATCGAATGGAACTTTTGTGAATGTGAAATGTGAAAGGATGGGCTACTTTTAACTGCTCCGAAGCAGTACCACTTAATTTCTAACACAGTGTAGTCGAGTTTTGGATTGCCATCCATGCTCTTGATGGATTTGCAGTGTGACCAATCTTGCATTGTCCAACACTATCTTTAAGCCAGCACAAACGGAGATCTTGCTCGACTGACAAGAGAAGGCATGACCGTGATTATTATGTCCTCAGACACTTTTGCTTGACGTTTACGGAAACAATCCTGCCATGTCATTTTTGAGGCTTTATCCTTTGTTGCTGATTCACAAATAGTAGATCGAAACAGGTGTTGTTTCCCTTATAATCAAAAGCATGATTGAAGTTCCACTGGGCATATGTTATCCATGGGTATATATAGTCTGCAAGGAGCTGAGCCTGAGTACACTGCCTGCCTAACATCAGGTAAATGTTAGTAGCTAGCAACCAAAAGGCAGAAGCTGTATGATATTGGAAAGCAGGGCTTTAGGTGATGATTATTAACGGAGACTATGTGATTATGGTGAGTACCATTGACGAAATGCAGAACCAATTGGAGTCCTATTGGAAGGTAACAGGAACATGGTCGATATCATGCACGTTGGTTCGCATTGCTGCAGCATGAATGAATACAATTACAACAAATATTTACGGCGAACAATCTCTGGGCCTCAGACTCCAAGGACGAGGATTAACCATCACATCTCCATCTTGAGATTGTTAGGTAAGACGCTTCCTGCAAGAATTTTGGACGTCGATTAGCTTGAATGATCACCCACAAGTAACTATTCTTAACTCCGATGGAAAAAAAGGAATAGAATGCCAAAATAATCTAGCAATTTGCAACAAGATTTTTCCTTCCCCCCTCCCCAGTCAAACATCGAAAGCGGAGTATCTGTATGAAGCCAGGATTTCTTCGCTGATCAGAAGCACTTCTCTTGTTGTCATCCGATGCATCATAATGTTCTTGGTACAAGATGAGAGCCTTTACCTTCTGATGATTAGAAGGGGAGGGCTGCCCCTCTTCCTTGCTGGAAATCCACGCCATACAAGCTTTGCAGGTTTGTACTCCAAACAGAACACCCATTGACCTGAAATGGCCCCCCGTGAATATATTATCAAAGATGCACAGGACTCACTAGTGGAATGCTCTGAACATGTTTAACCGAAGTATTACATCAAAAGATGAACCAAAGGATGCATCAGGCACTGCTACTGGTGGATTGACGTTCTGCCGAAGCACTAAATCCGAAGAATCCATGAACGTGTCGAGCCCGGAGCAAGGATGAGGATGTTGTAAGGAGTCGAATCGAAGGTAGGATTGGTCCAGCAGCTCCGACGACATGCCGATCATCGCAGTGCTGCCTGATTTGCAAGACGGATTTATCTGCACCAGCATCGGGAGCTGTCAGAACAACACCAACATGAAAACTTCCGGAGACCAGTAGAGATGCAAGCTTTTAGGCTTCAGCAGCAGTCATAAGGGAATCATGTCTGAATAGGCTTTCTTTATTGTACTGAATCGCTCTGTTAACTCTCAAGGATCAAATGATGGATCAGATAATCCAAGACTTTACCTCTCTACCGAAGATGTTGTCGATGTTGATGTCCATCAATGGGCTCGCGGTAGCAAGTTTCATCGACAGGAACTGTCGAAAGCCATGTACCAAAAAAAAAAGAGTGTCTGTCAAAACAGAGCTCAGAATTGTCGGTCTTTTAAGGAGAAGACATGTGGTGGTAATTCTCAAGTACCTCGACTTGTCTTTGGAGAGACTGGACATAGTTAATGATCTCATCTAGCATACCAGCTTTTCCCGTTATCTTACTACATCCGGGCACCAAATCCTGGAGGTACTTCATCCTCTGGCTGATCCTCTCCCTTCTCACCTGCACCACCAGAGGAGAAGATTATTAGGAGACCAACGAAAAAATCAACATAGGATTTGGGAATATGGCGAGGCAGATCACAGCATACTCTTTCGGCCAAGCTATGACTGTCAGTGGCCTGACCCCGGCGAGCTCTGACATGAATGCAGTCGGTCTTCGGAGGTTTGTCATTCTTCTTCGAGGCATCTCCAGATGCTGCTTCCTTCTTGTTGGGTTGCCCCGTCTCTGAGGTTGCCCCTCCTCCCGTCTCTTCTTTAATTCTCTTACAGCTGCTGTCACCTTTGCCACCTCCACCATTCTCCTTTTCCTAGAATGAAAGAATTATGTCAGCCTTGAGTTGATGATAGACATCGATAGAACATAATGATGATCAAATTTCATGGTCCTTTTCCCAACCAGGACCTCACGATGCGCAAAGAGAAAGCACATCTTTAGCACTCGGTGTCGGAAAAGCTGTTCTTTATGACCGACACCAGAGCTCAGATAATTCTTGAATTTAGGGCATGCTGAGAAGTAAATATAGAAACTAGGAGTATGTCGTTTACCTTTGATCTGGGAGATTTATCTGCCTTCCTCTTCCTTGAGCTGTTGCTGCTTACGTTAGTAATACTTGTTTCCTCAACGTTAGCAGCACCATGAACGGGATAACGAATATTAGCAAGATCAGGCCATCCGTTACTGAAACAGTCGATTGATCCATGAACGTCGCCGTGGTTCGCGTTCTTCTCCCCGCCGCAGCCACTGGGAAGCGCCTGGAAGGAAGTCTGCATCTGCCTGCAGTAGCCGCCGCCGCGAGGATTATAATTTGACTGCTCTCGGCCCTGCTGCTGCCAATTCAGCAGGCACGCCCCTTGCCTCTCCAGAACTGAGAGATCATCAGGAGGAGCTCGTAGGCCCTGCATGATCTATGAAGGCTCTCTTCGAACGCTTTCAGACAGCTCTCGCCCTATAGCCTTCTGAGGACCTTTATATATATACAACAAATGGACTGAGGGAGTGGATCAAATGATCACGGAGAGGGGAAGGAAGGAGTAGACGGAGGTGAAATCAGAAATGATCCAAATGGGAGGAGGCCAGTTGTTGCCAGTGAGCCTCGCTTCGACCGGTGGGTCCACTCTGACGTGACCGACGGCGTGGCTGTGTCTCAGAAATCCAAGCCGGATAGAGAGAGAGAGAGAGAGAGAGAGAGGCGAGATATGCTGGGGCCGAAGAAAGGGCTTCCACATGGCCGCGGCCGCCGTGGCACGTCCAGATCCAACCGTTCTTCCACGCCGGCCCGCCGATGCCGGCTTCGACGCAGAAACGCGATGTGAAAAGCCCTGATTTCCATGCAACACCGGCGGGACACCCATCCCATGCAGAGGCAGCATCATGGTGAGGGGGTAGTTGGCCGATGCTGATGCTGTTTAGTTCGGATGAGTATGACACATTGAGGCTGGATTAGGCTAATCATGAAGGGGCTCTCTTGCTTGTTGAATTGTTGATTTCAAGATGGGATGGAAACCCAACATTCAGGGCCTCCCCTGATTGGCATTAAAGTCTCACGGAATAAGGTTTTGCCATAAAGCTCGCAAGATACTATCACGGACGATGTGATACTAGGAAATCTAGCCTTTGCATCAAAATGTGTGTGGTAAATGGTTAGCTTAGGTGATATCCGTCGGGGCGCAGGATTTGACATGCACTCGAGACTTGTCGGCTCTCACGTGAGTTCACCAAGGGAAATATAGCCATTGGTGGACTCGAGAGAGGTGAGAGAGAGAGAGAGAGAGAGAGAGAGAGAGTTTGGAATTGTGGCAGTGAAATAAAACCCCGCAGGAGATGCGGCAACGTCTTGCAGCTCTCGTCGTCCCTACACTCCCCGTCCGCTCCTCTTCTTGTCGCTAATTTCCAACCATAAATGTCCCGCTATTCTCTGGCCCATAAATGGCATATCCACCTCTCCTTTTCTCCTGACTCAATAGAACAGCTAAACAAAGAATGATTTGTAGGAATCACTTCTCCCTCGACATCTCCCCTGTTCTCAGCTGCTTCAATCTCGTGACGAGGAATGAGACAATCATTGACACCTTTGGCATCTCAGGGTTCTTATTTCGACTAAAGTTTTATCTTAATTTACTAAAATCCACCTCTCTCTCTCTCTCTCTCTCTGTCTCACGCATGCATAGCTTGCTGTAGCTACCTCTCCTGGTTCTTCATTGTTCTAATCTTGTGCAAGGGAGTGGGACGGATTCATCGAACACTCCCAGTTTAACTTTTTTTCTTTTTAGCAAAGCATCTCCAGAAGAAAAAATATAGCATGGTCTTTGTCGTCCGTCTCTAGCTTTAGTTGGAGGGTCAAGGATAGATGGGAGAAAGCTGACGGTGAACGCCATGCTCCTGCATGTGGCACGATGCGTAAAGCAGCATCCTCCATACGTAGCTTAGTTGCCAATGTCTGGTCTGAGAATTTTTAGCTGTGCACTTCAGCATGATTCATCAATTTCTGCTCGCGTATAGACACATCCCTTTCGATCATAACATACATAGCGTTCATCAGTTGCCATCTCGTGATAACGAGAGAAGTAGGTTGTGGTGCAAAGGAAAATGACACTGTTTCAGACCAGCATACCAATTAATTCCATTTAAAGTGATGTTTTCACGAGAAATAATATATATATATGCTCCAGCGGTGACTTTGGTAAATTTGGCATAAGACATCGCTATCTTCTCCATTGCAGATAGAATGGTCGGACATGCAACGAATTGATTGCTCGACTAAAAGTATATTTCTATATGAACATAAGCAATTTACTCCTTTGCTTTCTCCCCATGGATTCATTAAAATGGTGAAAGAAGAACAGGCACGTCTCTTTGTTGGTTTTGGGGTCATATTTCTGTCCCAAGTATTAGTAGACTCATGCAAATATCATTTATCTCACGTTTCCAAACCTGCTTCCTTCCCAAGTGGAATCTACGCAAATAAAAACCTGAAACATCTAAGAAAGAGATCTATTGCTCATGCAGAAAGCACCGCTACATGACAGGATAAGGTGGAGAGAGTCTGGCCATATAGCACCACTAAAAGAACGCGCGTCCTTCCGCCTGTGTGGGGCTCCCTCTATCACTTGGACGGTCCTATCTCTGTAGTGAAGGGTTTAGTAGTGAAATAAATGGTAGGTGGGGACGTTGTGGAAGGAGATGGAGACGAGGTGTAGCGGTGGATACAGGGGAATTTAAACAGATATATAAATGCTTGGGGAAGGAACATTTATGGTTTCAAGCAATGCGTGGCTTGGATTTTTTTTCTTTATTTCCGAGGCTTTTCTCTCTCCTTTGTGCCGATAAATGTTGGCTTCAATGTCTTGCTTCTTCTGAGTGCTCCGTATGACGGGGGGGGGAAGGGCTGACAAAAGTCAATTTTACGAGCAAGTCAACATCACGTTTAAGCGATCTTTCTCTTCGGATGCATCGAGCGAGGCACTATAGTGTAACAGTGAATACATGCCAATTGGTTTCACGAGAACACTGGAGCTATCGACAGTCTGAACAGAGTCTCTGTTCTTGCCGATGCTCGCTCTGAGTACATGGCATTGTCTTGGCAAAGAATTTGGAACATCTCCTTGTCTTTTCTTCTTCAAGATAAATTACTGAAAGGGAGATCATCTCCCTGCATAAAGAGGTGACTCTTCACTCACAAGGCTGTCTCGATCGGACTACTGGTCGCTTCACCGCTCTTTTCTAGTTGGCTTGCGTTAGACTAAAGCAGCTGCATGAGATGCTCAGAACCGGGGCTGCCATCGGAGGGCACGGGCACCTGACAGGAATAATCTTTACATCCTGACATTAAGCTGGGAATGCCTGAAAGCATTTGCAACCTCCACATAAGACAACAAGAAAACTCCGGGTCGGGACTAACTAGGAGGGTTGAGTCGAGTTGGTCCATGGCTTCCTGTGGATCGTAAGAGTTCCTGTGTCCCATCTGTTGAGAACTCGGGTACCGACCGGGTCAGGGACAACCCCGCCATGGAGGTTGTTCATCTTGGCACAAAATGCTTTTTAGCTTCATCCATCCTCCGTCGACCGCACCCTCCTCCCTCTTCTTTCATTCAGACGATCCAATCCTATCAGCTCGATCGCTTGGTGTGTGGCACTGCATGTTTGGTGGGCTCTCCTACCCCTTCTACTTGTCTTTGCCCGAAGGAGGTGGACCAATCGAGGATCCATGCCACATGATGTTGTTGTGGAGTGGTGTATTATTGGCACCATTTCACATGAAGGCATTACATGTGTGTTGAACAGAGAATAGACAGAGAAATATAGTGGAGGAAGTGTCGCACAATGTCTAGTGACAATGGATGTAACAAAAGAGCTTGGAGCAAGAAGATGAAGCCATGATCCGTGTCACTTCTTGATAATTTCGCTAGCTCCAATGTATCCAAAGAGACATCGTTTTGCTTTCTGACTCACTTTGTTAACATCCGTCCAGCTTCAGGTAAGTTGAATAACCAAGTAGATGAGGATATCTTCAATGGATAGAGATCAAATAAGTTTGAATGTGAAGCAGTAGAGTAGACCAAATGGGCAGTGGAGAGATGTGAGATTGTCGGGAGGGTCTCTGCCACCCACTTCCACGTGGTCTTGTCTCCAATTTTTGTGGCCATGGAGGCCATCATGTAACTCACCACTGAACCAACTTCCATCCACCCTCGCCTTGTTAGAACCTCATTCCCATGGATCATATTCTTCCATTGATCTGAGACTTCGCTGTGGCTTCAAAGACCAGCTTCAAATGGCATAGCTCGAACCAGAATACCAATCCCAAAAAGAAGCTTAGGTAAAGGAACCAGACTTACAAGCAGCTTCTCTTACGATCCAAGAACAAAGAATTATCCAACTGAGGACGTATGGCTCTTACTCCCAATACCTTATCCCGATCTTGCGGAAACCAAATCGATCATTCTGAAAGATCATATTCTGATATGCATATAAACATGAACCGTGAGGTGTCACTCTCATGCAACTAATGGACGTAATGCACAAACACCTGGATGTTTCAGAATCCGACTCAAGGTGGAGATGCAATGGAATGGACATGGATAGTCGTAAGCCCAGGAAACTGCCACTCACTAGACTCCACCATCATGGGAAGCCATTGTTGTTCTTCATAATGCGTTTGTCCATATCATGAGCTTTTTATACACTAAGTTTGAGCCATGTTGGAAGGATTATTAGGTTACGAAATCATGATATATAGATAGAATCAACGAAAAGATTAGACAAAATCCTCTATTCTGTTGAGGGATCCTCGTTCCTAATCTGTATAATCTAATTAAGATTTGACTAATATTGACTAGAGTCGATCACAGTCAACGGTCAACTTCCTGTTCTCTGCAGTTGCTGCCGCGAGCACAGTGGCATGCCGGTGGAGGACTCCCCAGAGAAGAAGCTTCAACGTCGGGCAGTTCTTGGTCGGGTTTGGGCTGGAGCAGTAGGAGATCTTTCTCACGTCTTCCTCCCTGCTTCTCCTTCCAAACTTCTCCTCTCTTATTCTTTCCTGAAGCGACGCGGGTGAAGGCACACGGGCAGCGGCGGTGCGCTGTGCGAACGCAAGCGCGGGGCCGGGGAGAAGTTGACTTCGGTCAACGATTCGACTCGAGCCGGAATCGTTGCATGGTAAGGATGACAGTGAGTTGCATGGGTTTGGCAAGATGCCTACTGACGAGAGCCAACGACGTTTGGATTCAGCTAACACCGTCCGGTAGATTCCATTTCATGTCAGCTTTTGACAATCTGTGATAGATTTAGCTGGGAATGATCCCGATCCACAATCAAACATAACTAAGATCAACATACGAAATCATGATTTTAGTGGCCATTCAATGATTTCTCATGAACGATCAATTGTGGTGTCATGAGATGATCCTCGTCCTGATGCAATTAATGTATGCAACACTTACGGATTTCAAGAATCCACCAAAGCAGTATATTCTTCTTCTTGCTCTAGAAAACAAGGGTACAGAGAACACGGTCCCTATATCTCCTACGATGATGATGATGATTGGGCAGGTAATTGACATGACATTATTTAAGAAAATAATTGAAATATATTTTTTACGAATTATAAATTGATGTGATATTTTCTAGAAATTAGAACATTAATTTTCCTTTTGTATCTTTGTATTCTTATGCAGATGGATACACTTAACCATGGAGGGCGATCAAGCGGTCACGAATTTTAAGGGCAAAACTGGGATCAAAAAGATCTCCGCAGCCACGGCTCCGGCACCAACACCGGCGCTAAAAAGCGAAGCAAGTCGAGAAACGTGTCGTCCGATTTGTGGAAAGATTGGAAATCACGCGGGAGGATGGAGTCAGAGGGTAACATTAGTGCTACGAATTATGTAGTAGAAGAGGAACCCTAGTCGATTCTCTTGTTCTCCTCCTCCCTCCCCAAAGATCGCCAATTCTTCTCGGATTTCAAAGCACTCGTTTAATCTCGTCATTTTGAAGTCGCTTCCCTCCTGATCTTGATCTATTCTGACGCGGATTTGGAAAATGGGTTTATCAGGGCAAAGGGCGGCCTCGAATCCCTCGGCCATGCTTGCAGCGCTCGTAAGCAAGAGGGATAAGCTCCAGGACGAGCTACGGGTTATCGAAAGACAAGTAGGTCCTCGTTCTTGGCTTCTCTTCTTTTCTCTTCCCCGGATTTCTTTTAGATTACCGACCTATGATCTCAATAAAAAAAAAAAGGATCTTTGTGGGTTTTTTGGCGAAAAAGCTTTGATCTTTGCCCTAATTAGCAGTATTACTTTTTAGGCTTCAGTGGTATCTGATTTGGATTGTGTTTGGTTCCTTGTGTTTCGTCAAATTGGTTGGGAAGAACTGGGCGTTCTATATTCCTTTTATGTGTCTCCTCGAGAACGAGGGTTTCATGCTTTATTTCGTTTCCCATTCTATGATTCAAGTGTTGCTAAGAATCTTAGCGGCAACTGAATTACTCGTGCCTCTTATTGTCTCTTATCGTACCCCTTTCATCCCCTGTTTGAACTTCTATTTTCTCAAAAGAAGTGGTTGGGCTGAGAGCATTTTGCATATAAAAATTCAAAAGGAAATTGGGCTTCATAGAATCATATCCAAGAGCAATGATCCGCAGATTGATAATGGCAGTCGATATGCTGTCCAAATTATTTAAGGAATGGCTATTTGTGTAACTTTCTTCTATAACACAGAACGAGGAATGTTCTTTATGGTAAATAAGCTTCCAACATAAGCAGGGGTGACATTTTGAAGTTTGAATATGCTCAATTGACGTTGTCAATTTGTGATATTTCTTCAAGTGAAAAATGTATTATGCCAGCATTCTGGTTCTAAAGAGAGAGCCAATAGTGATATTACAAAAACAAAAACAAAAACAAAAAAAAATACTGACTTAGTTTTCTTGATCTGGAAACTTTGACAACCACTTTTAAGCTTGATCGTCTTTACTTTTGTAGTGTGTCATAAAGCAACTACTGCCTATATGTATGGCAAACCCAACCTATTTGCATAATATCTTCCATGTGTTTTGGAAAGTGTGAGGAAGCTCTTTTAATTGTTTAAGAAGCTGGAGGGTTGCAAGGGATCATGCACTAGTAGTCTGAAAACTTCCATTAAACTTTATTTAATGCATATGTTATCACTAAAACCTTGGTTGGGATATGAAGATATTTCGCATGAAGGTTATTTTCTTGATATAAGCATTGATAAGTCTTGATTTTTGACTGTATTAAGTTAGAAGTGAGTTCATTTACCTTTGTGCAACTTTTTTTTATCTGACTAAATAGTTTTTTTCTTGATGTCATGATCTGGGAATATGTCCACGATCTGATCATATGTTCTGGAAATTAATAACTGGGAGGAAATTTCACCATTACCTATGTTTTTTTTTGTTTTTTCGTTTTGGGCAAACATGTACTTCGTCCCATTAGTTGCAATGGGTATTCATGGTTTTTTGGTTGAATATCAATTATTAATTGCATCATCACATTTTCTGCTGTACTCTGTTAGGTCTATGACCTAGAAACTACATACCTACAAGACTCAAACCAGAATGGAAGCGTGCTGAAAGGTTTTGAAGGTTTTTTATCATCATCAAAGGGCACTTCTAAGTAAGTTTATTGCAAAATGCTTTTCCCTTCCTTTGTAACTCTTGGGACTTCTTTGTGGTTGTTCCAGTCGGAGACTCATTTCATGGGGAACCTCCGAAGTGGCTCTATTTCATTATATTCCATCTTTATTGTAATTCCATTCATTTAATGTCCCTTCCCTTCCACATCATTCACATTCATTGGCATATGATTTGTTATTCATAGTATATATGCTTCTGCATATGGAAGGTTAAGAATTCATCATATAATAATCGAGAAATCACAACAGAGAAGAAAAAAGTGATCCTAAAATTTGGCCTAACACACATAGTAATATTCCATAGAAAATATCTTAATTCATCGAATGATCATGTTCACTTGTTCTCGTGGAATATGCGCCAGGTATCTCATAGAAAATTCATAATCAATTCCTAGGGATGTCATGAAGTTCTTTTGGTTAGAACATTCCTTTTCTGTTGATGTACCTGTACAATCAGTCGTATGCCTTATGAAAAAGTTTTCTAATCTGCCCCACTTCTAGGATTGCCAACTAGTTGGACATGCCATTACATAACAAGGAGAAAAACTGCAAGTATGTATAGCTGTGAATTAGATGCTAAAGTAGGATTCAATTTATGTGATTTTGGTTTTTGTTACTATTTTATTTAACTAACTGTTTTATCCAAACTTGCTATCTTTTGTAATTTAATCCTTCAAATACCATGTATATCACACATTGAGTTCTAACTTTTTCCTCTTGCAATGGAGAGGAGCACTACTATTTTTTACACATGCCTATATTTGTGTGATTGTGTATCTGAAAATTGTTTATTGTAAGTTCAAAATCATTGGTATGTTTGGGCCTGTGTTTTAGGCATTGAGGTTTATCTGGCATATCTTTGGAGTACATCAGGGTCCCAACCAGGTCTGACAAGCAGGTGTACCATGGTACAGGGATTTTTAATTTTTTTAAGGTCCGTACTGATCGGTACGTGCTGGCCTGCATTTAGTCTGGTACAGTTACCAGTAGTGTTTTACAGACCTTGCTGGTGACAAACTTCTTGAATATAGCTAGAAATTATTGGGTATACCAGATTCAGATATTTCCTTCTTTTAAATCATCAGATCAATCTAAAATTTGAAATCCTGAATGATAGTTATAGCTGAAATATTGCATTAAGTGTTTCTCAGTTGTAATATATCATTCTGATGCATTGTGGTGTTTAGGACAGTAATGATGCCTTCTTTGCAGAGAAATAGAAATAAAAATTACATTGGCAATTGTATGTTCTAAATGAGCTTCCTCACTTGGTTCATATGGCATTCTAATGCATTCGTAAATAATAGGCAGGGATAACATTCTCATGTAGATAAGGAAAAGCAAGTTGAGGTTTATAACTTTTTCATTTGTATAAGATCAAACAAATTTGTGTGCACCAAGAAAATTGTGTCTTAAATTCTGACATTGGGGTTGTGCTCTTAATGTTTGGGCCTTGGACCTTCTTTTCCTTAATGTTTGATCATGAGAAAAATGATGGCCTTGTAAAAATTGACTATGCAGCAGAAGTTTAGGCTGTTGCTTTATTGAATCCTTCTGAGGTCACTGTCTAACATCTGCAAATTCTGTTTTTATTTACTTATGTTGCTTGAGCATCCATCTGCATGTTATGGGACACCATTTTTTTTCAGAATTCCTAACATTTACAAGAGCATACATACCACAAACTTCAATGTATAACCTTTTATACGATGTCCACTTATTCTAACAATAATATTATTTGAAATTATGTTTTCAGCATGAAACGTTCCAGAAAGTTTCAGCCTGAAGACAGGTTATTCTCCTTGTCATCGATTACCTCCCCAGCGGTATGTACTTCTGAAATAGCCCTGGTTCGAGTGTCAATTTTATGCAGCTCAAAGTAAACTTTAATTAGAATAAGAAAATGATAGCACTAGATTTTCTATAAGTTATATCTGATTTATTTTATCTGAAAATTCTGCCCACTATTCTTATATATATGAAGTTAGATATGTTTTAACTCTTATCACAACATTTTTATGAAGTTTTATCTGAGTTAAAATATATAAAACCTGTGGTCTTGTGGTTCAAATCTGTCCTCCTGTGGTCTTGTTTCACTCTATCCTTCCATCTCTTAACACATTTGGGGTTTAATCCACATGTGGAATATGATTGGCGGACTGCTTCATTAGAATATTACATTATGGCCAAACATGTGATATTTGGTCAATAATGCTTTGGTGGCTATGTGGGACTAACTTGGCATGTCTAAAGATAAAATTGAGCTTGCATGGGTCCCATGATTACCCACAGGGAAGCCACCTCGAACATGAGCAGTAATTACCAACGTATGAGGCACATGAAGTACGAGTTATAGCATACATGCACATCGTGCAACATTGACGTAAACAAATTTGTCATCCCATGTGCATATTCAGCATGCATGAATTGTTTCCTGCAACTTCTTAAATGTCTATTGGGTAAAAGGATGATCACCTTCTCCCTAAAAGGGCATGCCTTGAATAGTAAGGATGACTGCCTTCAATGTTATGCAGAGATAAGCAAATCTAACCTTTGACCTTGTGCTTGTGTTTTAGGTTGAAGAACATGTAGCTGGCCGAGATGGTGAGTTTTCATCAAACAATATCCAAATTACTTTCTAGCAAACAAGCTACAATTGAGCAGTTTTTTTTTTGTCTATTTATAGATGGAAGGTCTGAATATGGTCCAGGTCGATCAAAAGGTGGAGGTACTCCTGCAAATGGACAGTAAGTACACTAACTACTACTGATGCACCTATAGATATGGCAAGGACGTGTCAGAGGCAGTTCGAGGGCAGCATAACTTGTTCCTTTCTGTTGTATTATAATTGGACGAATTCAGAAAAGATTTGATGAGATCTTGAAACCCCATGTTTGATTTTTCAAATAGTTTTGAGGTGCTCTTTTTCCAATGTTGGAATGTCATTTGAATAGGGGGTCTCTATTTAACTTTGCCATCTACAAAGCTTATAGTACTATAGCCATTTTCTGTATTACCAGACACAACTGGATAGCCTTCATGCAGTCAACAGATTTGTTCAATCTAGAACTGCCTCTGGCTGATAATTTTATGCAACTTATGGTCAAGTCGTATATTTTTCCAAGTAGTGCACTGCAGACATTGTTGTGAAAATTTTCCCATTATGTTTGACGTAATCATATGCTATTACAATTTCTAGATTTTATTCTGAATGAATTTTCTTATCCTTAGCATGATGTACTCATTCTCAATTAGTCTTGGCTAACATTCTTATTCCACGGTTCATGTGACTAATGGATATCTTGTATTCCATTTTTTTCCAGAGGAAAGCCAAAGAAGGGAGGAAGAATTGCTTCAAGAGAAGGCAAAAGGCTCAGACCTTCAAGTGAACAGGAATTGGATGATGAAGAAGATCTTGATATGAGTTTGAGATGATTGTTTGTAGCACTAGTTTACTCTTTATGTTTGGTAATTTATGGGCTATGTTGACTAAGGGTTTGCTGAAATCCTCCACAGCTGATGTCTAGACTCAGACTACTCTTTGGTCCATCTGCCATTCCACTTATTCTCACTGATGTTTCATATCTTGATGCTGGACCTGATAGAATCTAGACGAGTGGACTATAAATTCTCTTCTGTGTACCAACTTGAGAAACATGTTGTATTCTGATGCTGCACAGAAGTTTCTATTGACTCACTCATTCGATCACCAACCAGAGAAACCATGTCAACCTGTTATTTGTGCATATGCTTTGATGCATCATCTACCGATCTCCGGTAGGTTATCCATCCAACTCACTAAGCTTCCTAGATTCAAAATGGAAGGTTTGATGCTCATCTTGCCCAGTATTTGTAATCCGATCAAATACTCCATTACTGCGCGCTTATCAAGCTCTGCTTTGTGATCAAACTACAAGAGCGACAGGAATCAAGAAATGACTCCTGCAGATCATGCCATTGCTTTCCTGATTTAGAAGAGGAAAAAGAAACAGCAACATGAGCAAATTGGAGACGGCTTTCCTTCTCACACTCCCTCAATCGTCCGGTCTTTCATGGTGCAGCTGCTGCTCCACCTCCTCCTCTTCAACACTTTCCTGCGGACGCCAACCTCGCAGCAGAATTGCTCCACCGCCGCGCCGTCCTGCTCCGCGAAGGCCAGCATCCCCTCCCGCTTATCAGCCGTGAATTTAGTCCTGATCCGCTTCCTCGACACGATGAACTGATGCTGCTGATGTTGCGGCGGGGGCGGCCCGGCCATCAGCTCCTCGCTCGACGACTCCGTCGCCGCTCCCACACTTGCACCAATGCTGTTCCCGGTCTGCAGCAGAATTCCGGACGAGCGGGATGGCTTCAGGTTGTGATTGTAAGGAGTTAAGAGGCGGAGGGAGCAAGCGAGGGATTCTTCCACGGGTGTTGCCATTCTGAAGGTGGCACAGCGAAGTCCCAAGTCGGTGTCGCTCGGATGGCAACCGCAAGCGGCGCAGTCGAGCGAGTCGTCGCTGCATGGCATGAACTCGCAGCAGCCGTCAAGGATGTCGCCACCGAGGCTGGTGACACAAGGATTTGAACCTCAAATATTCGATATGTCCCTCATGAATATAAACATCTAAATGCATCGTAGCATCAAAAGTGTCTAATATATTCTTGTAAAGATAAGTCTAATGTATCTTATGGACACAAACATCCATTATATTTTTTACGAACGAAAGTATCCAAGGCATATAGGCATTCTTTAAGGACCTCTTACTCGAAGTAGATAGATCAATATGTTGAGAACTTCATGGTAGGTTAACAACCTTTAAGCCTTCCTTGCATGAAGGCAATCCTACCTAAAGTGGGTAGGTTAACAATGTTTGGTAGCTCTCTTGCCTGATGTGGGTTGATCGACAACCTTCGAGCATTCCTTGTTCGATGTAGATATGTCGACAAAGTCCAATAAATCATTTTGTCTAATAGAGATAAATCAATTGGTCCAAATAACTTTTATCGGATGTGAGTAAATTGGCCAACCAAGAGGACCTTTGCTTAATGTGGGTGGATCGACTGATCCAAATAAAATTATAATTTAAGAAGATCTCATTGAGTTTTAGTCGAACTTGAATTTAGCTTAATCAAAATTTCAATCGGATTTCAATTTGATCCCAGAATCAAGATCAAACTTAGGCCCAAGTCATCATTCAAATCTTAGTTAGATTAGATATGACTCAAATCTAAGTTATGGTAAAAGTCAAGCCCAATATCAATTATTGAAACAAGATGTATCTTATCCAAATCATATCTAATCTTAGTTATTGAAACAAGAGACAACTTATTGACATTAGCTCAATATTAGCATATAACTTAGTCAAATCCTAGTCCATGCAGGACTCATTGAATCATAAAAAGGGATTGGTGATCCTGAAATAGATGTAATTCTATCTCTTTTTACCACAGTCCAACACAACAATGACTTCTTCAATCACAACCTACTTGTTAACTAAGGGGTCTGCAACTTCTTGAAAAGGCAATGAAGAAATGAGAAAAATTGAGAAATCTTAAAAAATAGAAATGCCTTCATATCTCATGTCTATCATTCACTATTCGAAGATGGTGGGTCAGTCAATCAATCGAGATGCTCCACCACCCGATGTGGGAGGATTGCAAATTTGACTTGATATGGGCATCTTCTTTATTGCTTGATGCAGGCATCTCAGCAACATGCAAAGTGAAACTAAGAATCTCCTCTATCACTTGATATGAGTGCCTTGGTGTTTTCTACCGTGAACCCTCAAGTGAACAACCCAATGTGAGTGGATAGGAGTTAAAGGTCTTGCAGATTAAGCGAAGACAAGCATATCTACTACAGATCGAGTGGGACAGGTTTACACCATTTAATATGGGCTCTTTGAAATTGTTGTAGCAAGGAATCAATTGTTATCTTCTTTAGCAGCTGATGTGGGCATCTCAGCTACTTTAGAGTAGATCAGTCAATGCTTTATGATGTTGGCTACTCTATCACCTAATTACTATAACAATTCAAGCAAGAAAAGTTTACAATTGATATGGAGAGATCAAGAGGTTTTGTTTTGTAGTCGAAATATGCAGGCAGATCAGCAGGTTGAGGAATTCTTCCCTACCTAGTGTGGATAGATCAATAAAATGTAGCAAAGGGTCGACAAACTTAGAGAGAGCATTATCTAACGTGGGTGGGTAAGTAGCTAAAGAGCCTAAGTTACATATTGGGAGGTCCATAATGGTTTCTTCCTTTCAAGTATTTGATGTCCTTTCAAAATTGTTGCTATGATACTATACTATAAAATCTCTTAGAAAGATGATATGTATCGAGGAGAATAGAGAATCTTTGAAAATTTAAAAACTCTTATTGGACATAAAAACTTATAATCCCTCCTCCCAAATTATATACCTAAAGTATTATATAATCTTCTTATTTATGGATGGATAAACTTAAAACTTTAACTTCATCTATAATAACTACTCTTATCTTAACTAAGACTCCTAAATTATAATCCTATCAAATAATACAATTATATATAATCATAAAGTTTAATTTATATTTTAACATCCTCTCCTAAATTAATTTTTATAAAAAATATTATGAAAAGTCTTAAAGCTTGATGCAATCACCTATCACCTTTGATGTTGTTATGGTGTGTAGTGTTTTTGAGCTACACAATCCATAATAACCATGCATGTGCTCAATATGTCTTATTTGTCATGATCAACCATAAAACTCTAATTTATCTAAAATGAATCTTATTTAATTTCATTTTCCATCTTCGATCCCTATTCTTTTTTCATCTTAGCTCTAAAGGTCCATAAAATAATACTTTCATCTAGTATTGATTGAGAGATAAGCTTGAATGTTTTTTTTTTTTTTATTTGTTTAAACCCAATTCTTTCTTATGTTCTTCAAAAAGTAACTTAAAATCTTTATTTTCATCATAATTTTTCGTCTATAATATTTTTTTATCAAATCTAAGTAATAACAATATCCAAAATAAATAATCATCCACACCTTTAATCTTTTCTATTGAAGTGATCAAATTTTCAATATATCAATCTTTCTATATCATCTTTTGCTTGCTATAATTAAATCTATCGATTGCTTTCTTGTTGATATCAGAGTGGTGCTTCAAGAATTCTTTTTTATAGACTTTTTATTTTTTTTAGATTTTCTCTCTACTATTTCTTTCTCTAACAATAATATTTCTCTCTCTATAGTGCTATTTATTTTTTAAATAATATTATTTCTCTCTCTATAAATATTTTTTTTCTAATAAGATAGACTTTCGATAGGATAAGATATGTACTCACAACACCTATTTCTTTTTTAACAACCTCTTCGCTCTGCACCCTCTGTTATTTCTCTCGTAAGCTGTGTTTTCGACCTTAAGAATCAAACATGCTTTGATACCATATTATAAATAAAAAAAACTTTGATACTATTTTAGGAAATCTTTTAGTAAAGTGGTGGGTAAAAAAAAATTCATAGAAGAGAGTACCAATGATAATAAAAAACCTTCAAAAAAATCTAAAAACTCATATTAAATATAAAACCTTATGATTCCTCGAACCTCGAATATTTGAGCATATACTCTAATTGTCTATCATCTCTAAAGCATTATATGAGTTCTTTATTTATGAATGAATAAGTTTAAAACTTTAATTTAAACTATAAGGATGCCTATCTTAACTAATGCTCCTAAATCAAAATTTTATCAAATAATAAAATCATATCTAATATATAATCATAAAGTTTAATTTAAGAAAAAAGAAGGTGCTAGTGGATATTCAATATTAAATGAACTTTTTCAAAGTAAACACATTAACATCTCCCCACCTCAAAAGGAGGTTACACCACCTCAACAAATAATTACACCACCTCAACTGAGTTTAAATAGTCTTTCTCATTTTATTTTTATTTTTTCACACTCTTTTTTTTTTTAACTTTATATTATTAACTTGGACATTAACAAGATATAATCGAGTTTTTTTTACCTCGATCTTCTATATGGATTTAGCTAGCACATAAAGATATTAGGTAATATCTAGATTTCGTCGGTTGATTTATCTTCGATTTATTTTTAGATTATTCTTCGTTGCCTACGAATCGAGTTGATTCATTCTTTTCTTTTCTTTTTTTTTATCAAGTAACTAATCTCATATATTATAATTTATTAATTTATCTATGTAAGGAGGTATATTTTAGCAAAATAAACATGGTGTAATAGTAAAGTCATTCAATTATTTTAGAGGTGACAAAATAAGATCAAACCTATAACACAATGTGTGGTTCCAATTATTCGGAAGAACTTTCATCCTTAAGGATTAGCTGTTTTGAATCGAAGCCTATCCTTAGCATTGCTTCTTATCACAAATATTCATGAATCATGTGACTTTATAAATGTATAGTTTTCTTTGTCCAGTTGTTATTTTATTTATACATATATATCGTTCGATACTAGGTATCATAAATAGTAATTATATTAATATTTTTAGTAACTCATTAAAATTTTATTTTATATATATATATATAATTCAAATATATTTATATAGATATACAATTGAGTGATTAATTTGATTTTTTTTATTTAATCTCCTTATTTTTCTTTAATTTTTTTAAATGTCATCATCGTCGTCCATACCTCTTTCTCCAATCGTGATGATGGCCGGATGGATAATTAGGATATTAGTGAAAAATAAAGATCTCAAATACCGAGAAAATTTAATTTAAATATATAAAATAATCTTTGCACCTTCTTGCATTCTCCGTTGTCTTGTTTTTTTCTTCAATCAGGCAAGAATTCGAAATAGACAGAGGGAATGCTGAGGGCCGCGGGGAGGCGAATTCTAGGGTTAGGGTCGGGGCACCGGGCGCCGGCAGCGGCGGTGGCCTCTCGTGGTTATCACGAGAGGGTGGTGGACCACTACGACAATCCGCGGAACGTCGGATCCTTCGACAAGAACGATCCGACGGTGGGGACGGGGCTGGTCGGCGCTCCTGCGTGCGGCGACGTGATGAAGCTCCAGATTAAGGTCGACGACGCCACCGGGAAGATCGTCGACGCCTGCTTCAAGACCTTCGGCTGCGGTTCCGCTATCGCCTCCTCCTCCGTCGGTCTGACCCATCCGATCCCTGATTCCCAATCGTTCTCCTATCGCCCAGTATTTTTTTTTTCTTTTGTTCGGTGATTTCCTAAAATGGTCCGGATAAACCCTTCGCCGATTTTCCTTTGGTAGTGGAGGATATACTCGTGCTATCTGAATCTGCATCAAGAAAGCAAGTTAATCATGCATCTAGGAATCTATAGCATGATTGCACGTGTGCCTTACAAAGTACAGGAAAAACAGAAGGCTAATTTGGTTTTTATTGATAAGGATTGGAAAAGCAGAGGAACTTGGGTCGAACAACCTCTTCCCAGGGATTGATCCTCCAAATCCAAAGGCTAATTTTATTCTATTGGTTGAAGTAAACGTCCAAAGAGATTACGATGTTTGGAAGCGGTTGCTTCATGAGGAAAACTGAATAAATTGAAATGATCGTGGGCAGTTCCTAAGATTTATGTAAGGTGCGGATGCCAATTAAATAGCTCTGGCCTTCCATCAAGATAAGCCCACTTTGTTGTTTCTTATGCCACATGTTCTGTTTGAATTTAAAGGACTGATTTTAATTGCAAAACTTTTGGTGATTAATGTAAAGCGCGAACATGGCTTCTTTTTAACATATAACTGGTATGTCACTGCTGATAAGTGAAAATTCTCTTTTCTTTTTGAGAACGTGAGTTTTCATCTTATGATTATGTTCTTTCATATGCACTGAATAGGTAAACACATGAATTTGTCCTAAGTTTCATGAAGGATTGTTCTATTAGAGTCGTTAATTTATTTTCTGGTTAGTTCAATTTGAAGATGTTGATCTGGTATTAATTGCAGCTACCGAATGGGTGAAGGGTAAACATATGGAGGAGGTGTCATCCATCAAAAACACGTAAATGAAACTCTTCTTATCTTTGTCTTCACATTCTTCAATGTTGAAGCAATACTTTGAACCTTCTATTTTTTCCTGAAGTTCTCTCACCATTAGTTTCTTCTTAAGCACTGTGAATATTTGGTTTCTGTATGCTTACAGTTAACTCCATAACATACTTGCAGATTAGAAAAGACTCTTGAGTCCTTGCTTGAAATCACTGTGCAAGACAGTTGTATAATGGAATCTTGGCCAGTAAAATTCAGTTGCTCTTATTGAATTATGTTTCCTCTGTTTTCTGAAAGGAAAACAACTGAACTGATAATATATTTTGTTAAACTGTAATTATTCTATAGTTGTGGCAGACGTGATATCTACTTTATAGTAAGTTTCTGATATTAAGAATGTAGGTCAATGATTGTCAATCCTTGACCAAGCAATGAGGAAGATGTTTAATTCACCTTCTTTTGCTTTCATGATGAGCAATGAATACACACACACGAAGCACACATATATATGTATATGTAGTATTTTTTAAATGTTCTCCAAAAAAGCTCAAACGTCTGAGATGACTGAAGCTTTTGATTTGCTGGAATTGCCCAAACTGTCAAATAATGAGAATTCATTTTTTTATTTTTGGAAGCCTCAAACGAAAAATGAAGCCAAAACCAAAACTTATGTATCAAAATTAAGTATCAGTAGTCTTAAGAAAGTCCTAGAGATCCAATGAAAGAACACTTTTCTAAATGAAAGAACGACTTCAGAGGCATCTCAATGTTCTCAACTTTTGGCAAAAATGTTTAGATAGCTTTCTGCAGTAGTATACATGACCCTAGTGCCAATATGTTGTTTTATATCAAGGATATCATAATTCATAAACTATCCTGAGTAGGGGCTGACAAAGTGGTTGAGGATTAATTTGGTTTCAACCATTTGTTATGAAGGACCCTTTCATTTCGCAGGTTAGAACCTGGCCAATAACCATGTGAACTAGAGGACCTGGTTGTGAAGGCTCATTGGGAAGAGTTTTTGGACACTTGATAGGTCCTGTTTATCAGTGTGTTTTTTATTCATCACTGATGATTTAGTGGACATCTCTTAATAGACTGTGTCATTTGCCCTTGAGCTGCTGTGATTTAATTAAACTTATTTTTATGTTAGCTGTATATTTGATGTATATTATGGGAGAAGAAAGCATCATATGTTTGACTTAGAGAAAGCATCATGTTGGACCGGAAATAAAGTAGAAAAGGTGAATTCAAGGTAACAAAAGTAGTAGAAATTATATTTGATGCTTTATTTGTTTATCATGTTATTGATTTGCTGCATTTTTTTCTCTGAATGTTGAGGTTCAATGAGATAATTTAGGAAAACAGGATTATGGTTCTCAACTAGAGAAGAAACTGGAGCACTGAAAAAGAATACAATGGGGCTAGGAAAACAATTAGCAATCATGATTGGTTCAATCATAGTATTGGTTGTTACAAAATTTTTCAGTGTTTGTTAAACTTGATATAAGAGAATTTTTAGAGATAGTAAGGGGTGTATGGATAGCATAGGAGAACAGAGTCATGATGAACCATCATGATTGAAATAAGACCTTTGATTGTGCACCTATGATATTACAAGTCCTTATTATGGATTTACCTCATATAGAATCACCTCGGTGCCCAATAGCTTTACATATTCTTTCTTGGACGATTAAACTCTTGCAACTGGATGATTGATGACATGCACTAGTATGAAAGGAAAATAACTCATGAGAAGTGTTGACATCAACTTGCATTGAATCATGCATCTCCTAGATCATTTGATCTCTTTCATTACTTCAACATGTATGTGTAAGAATCTATACATATTTTCGGGAGGCTAATGGCATACAAATTGTAGTGCAGCAGAAATGGCTTAGAGAACATAGTCCATCTACAGTACACTGAGGTTTTTATTTTCAGGATGATTCATGTGAAACATAAAAATGATTGTTTTCATTCTTTAAATGAGGTCCTTGCAAATCTAGTTGTGTTTTGCCAACATAATCAGGACTGGGGGTAGCAGTAAAGAATTTATTTATCAGTAATTTTACAAGGCTGTTGGGTTTTTTTCACTTTCTTGATATATATATTATGTATTTGATGGATAGATTATAGAGGCTTCCATGTTTGTAGGAGAGTAACTGCCATATATGTTGAAGCCCCAATGGGTTTTTCAATTAAGTTGTCGACAAATCAAACGGTTAGCCACTTAAAATAAAAAAGGAATGGTTAGAGAGCTAATTATAATTTTTCTATGCTTTTTGGTGGAGGTATTGGATTGTAGGAGATGAGTATCCAATTAATTCAAAATGAAGTATGACATGTTGACCTAGTGTCCTCTTCTTAATACATGCTTATCATCCATAATTATTTCTTTCATCCGACCCTTTAATTTTATACTCCTACAAGGATCGATTTGTGGGAAGTGATTCAATATCACAAATGGAATTTATCTATAACAGGATCTCTCTTTAAAATAGAGGGTCAGTTTTGTTATATAATGGCAAGGGTGTTCCATCTCAATGTTTTGCCTACCTTGTTGAATATAAGCTCCTTTCCTGGACTTGCAAACTAAAGCTAATGTTTGATCTGCGAATAATCTATGAGCTCCAAGAAACAAAGTTACGAGTATTATTGCATTTATCATGACTTTCTGAATCAGACAGACACTTATTTGTTGCTCAATTTGAAGAGTCTCAAACTATTGTGTTCCTTCATATTTGCAATTTTTCTAACTTTATATGCGATATTTTACAGAGAAATTGCCAAACACCTTTCTCTTCCTCCGGTGAAGCTCCACTGCAGCATGCTTGCAGAGGATGCAATCAAAGCTGCTGTGAAAGACTATGAATCCAAGAAAGCCAAGCTGGCAGCTGCAAATGCTGAGACTGCACAAACTGAGAAAGTTGCGAGTGCTTGATACACCACTTTATAGTTAAAAACCATGCTACAGCTACGCCACAAGATATTGCTCAGACTATAGAGGACTTGGTTTGCTGTTGGAGTTTACTGGACACCATACAGCGGATGTTGGAATGTCTCTCTTGAGCATGTAGATAATTGGTGCAAGGGTCAATCCGTGTTGTGTTCCTGCAGTCAAAGTTGATGAAAATTTCCATGAAAATTCATGTGTGCATATTTAATGATTTTTTTCCTAATTTTAAAAAAACATTGACCAATGGATATTTAGTTTAACTGCGGTCAGCAATGATTATATTGATCTCTCTTTAATTACTGATTAAATTATCGTATAGCGTGTACGGCCCTAAAACTCATTTCCAATTAGGCCGGGCAAGACACGCTACGAAGAGCGTATCGTCACTTGTAAAGATTAATACAAAGAGCTGGATTTTAATGGGCGGCGCAACTGCCAGATGAGTCCTCCCGGATCGACGCCATCGGCTAAATGGACGGCGGATATGGAATCCTCCGAATCGATGTTTTAGAGGATTTTATTTGAGTGCTATCTGCCCCTCGGATCGGGTGGGTTGTCTACCGAACGTCGTCACTCGCACTTCTCATTGTCAGCCGGCACATTGGACCGACCTCCTGGGTGGGTGGAAAATGCTTCTCTTCTTCCCGTCGGATCTAATCGATCCTCAACAATTCCATGCACCTTCAGATTTGCGATCTCTTCTTGCCCGTTTCGTTCTTTTTCTTCTTTTCTCGTTCTTCCGATCGGGAGGATACCTCTTCTTCAATCGATTGGGAATCATGGGGGTGGTGTTCGAGGTGGTTTCTTTGTGCTTCTTGATTTCTTTTCCTCCCGTGGAACTATTGTTTCTTTAGATGATTCTTTCTTCGGATTTGGTTTCAAGAACACTTCTGGCTTTAGTACGCTCTCCATTCTTTCTTTCTTTCTTCCTCTGTTCTGCTCCAAAATCTTCCTGTATTTCTATTTTTTCTGGGTTTTGAATCAATTGGACATTATCGGAGTGCGATGTTATCTCTTTGTGCCTCTTGATTTCTCTTCTCTTTTTCGTGTTGGTTTTTGTTTCTTTAATTGATTCTTTCTGTCTTTTAACTGTTGGATTTGATTTCAAGAACTTGTTGCGACTAAGCTACGTTTGTTTTTTCACTTTCGGTTTCTTGCTTCCTTTTGATCCTTAGATGTCTGATGTGGTCTCTTTGTTCTTCTTGATTAATTCTCCGTGTAGATTTTCATTTCTTGAATTGGTTCTTTCTCCATTTGATATGATTTCACAAACAATTTTGACTAGGATTTTCTACTCTCTCTATCTCTCTCTATATATATCAAGATGGTGCATACAATGTTTACTGATATTATAGTTTGGATTTTAATCAAGATGGATGAACAATTAGCTTCGTTCTTGATGAAACGTCCTTTATTGAAATACTGTATAAATACAATATATGCATTCTTTACTGATATAATATAATTTCTCTGAGGATGATGAATATAATCAAGATCATGAACAATTAAGTTCTCTCTTGAAATTCCATCCTTCATTGAAGCATTTTTCATAATTTTGAAATTTGAGGAGATAAATGTATGCTATAAGGTCGCAGAACGTTATGAGTTAATTCTACAATTATGCTATGCATTTCTTGTTGCTTTTCCTCTTGTTTTCCATATGCATTCTTCAAGAATTATTGGTCCGTATGCATTTTTCAAGAATTATTGGTCATAATTAGCAGTTATTAAGACGGTTGGAGTAAGGCAGACCGTAGGCAAGGGAAGATAAATGGCCAGTGAACTCAACAACAGCAATCCTGACCATGACTATAGCAAAGAGAAGTTGAAGCATAGTAGCAAGGAGGAGATGGTGTCAACCATGACCAACTCAATGCACAGATCTAGCTCGCGGCCACAGCTCGATGTTAGTAGGGCTGCTATACAAGAAGATTCTGAGGACAGGAACCCTACCATTTTGTTGCCGAACCAGTCTGATGACATCTCCCACTTGGCCCTGGATATTGGAGGTCCTCTATCTAACCTACCATTTTCTTTTCCTGGTTGCTTCTTTTAGTAATGTTCTGTATATTACTAAAGAGATTCATCTTCTTCTGAGAAATCCATTCTGGGATAGAATTATCATGCTCATATTCATTGCTGATATATCTGTCTTTTTCAGTTTTTTTGGATAGATGGTGGTCGTTGTTTTGTGAAGTTCTTAGGTTTTTTGCAAGGAACCAGTTAATGGTCTGTGTCACATTCTGGCTAGCCATCTCACTGGCATAATATGTCATTATGGACTGGCGTATTGTCACAACCAGCCTGCATGATGGCAAATTATAGAGAGATGGAGAGGGAGAGAGAGAGAGAGAGAGAGAGAGAGAGAGGCAAGGGATGTGGCAGGTTATGAATGTGACATTGCCACTATTATGGAAGGATTTATCTGAATGCTACTGCTTATTTTTCAAATGACAAAATCATATTGATTCCAATTTTATTATCCTCTGAAAGCTGTGTCAACTTCTAATTTTCATGATGCTGCTTTGGTGCTAGGTTCCCTCATTAAGCTGGTATACTTCTCACGACATGAGGAACAGTCACCTGATGATAAAAGGAGATCCATGAAAAAAAGGTTTGGGCTCTCTAATGGTAACAGAAGGAGTTATCCAATTCTTGGCGGGAGGCTTCATTTTGTAAAATTTGAGACGGGGAAGTTGAATGAATGCCTTGACTTTATTTCCTCAAAGCAACTTCATCGTGGTGGTATGTATTGTGATCTTTACAGTATGGTAGAAGGGCCTTGTTAAAAGATCTAGATATTAAAAAAGTAGTAACAGATGAGGACTACAAAATATTATTAGGTAACTGGTGGTTAGTAACCAAGAGAAAGATGTGACTGCCAGAAAGCTGTTTGTTATGACAATCTGTTCTCACAATCTGATCTGAAACTGCCATCGTGATGATCAAACACAATAATTATTACCAGCGGATTAGCTTAACAATTTGGAACTAAGTCATGGCTCCTTCATGAAGCTTAGTCCATAATTTTTTTTCAGACTTTCTGTTAAATATTACTACTGAGTCATTTAAGATTATAGGGATCGATTCACCTTCGTGGCGATCTGGGACTCAAACGGATGATAATATAGTAATCAAGGTAACCTTCACAAACATTACTTAGATTTGTTACATTTGTTACAGCATCCATTCTGCTCTTCTTTCAAATTATAAAATTCATTGATGGGCTTTCATGTAGTTCCTTGGGGTCTTTAGAGCATAATAATTTGAGAGATGCTGCCATATTGCATCATTATGACCATAAGGTCAATTAATGATGTTGGTAGTCTGAGGTTATATTTCATTATTTTGTGCCAATCACTTCAGTTAGTTAAGTGTATACATATCCTCTGAGTTACTATGAATTTTCAGCTGAAAAATATAACAGAAATTTCTTTGAAAACAAAGTACTACATTCTAGTAAACCACCAACTGCTGGTAGTTACATTTTCCAAAAATAACATGCTTAATTCAGTTCCCCAGGTGTGAGCTGACGTATATAGATGACCAAAATTTACAACCTTATGAACAATCCTGTTAGCATTTTTCTTAATTTAACTTAAATTTACAACTTTACATTCTCTTGCTAACTCCAAAATGTCATCTATAATGAACTTCAAATACCATGGATTTGAACTGCTTCCATTGGTATAGTTGATCATCCCCAAACTGATTGGATCCAGATGGTCTGCAGGCATTCCCTTCTAGCTTTGAACAATCCCTGATAAATCGAACACTGGGAGAAGCCAGCTACTATTATGTCTCCTTGTGAGTTCTTAATCACATATTTTCAAACAAAGAACATACATCATTAAGTATAGGCATGTAACACTATAAAAAAAAAAACAATTATCCTGTAAGTCCTTTAAAACTAAGAAAGTTTTTTATTTTTTTTCTTTCAAAGTACCATATCTGTGATCCGTAGAAGTCGTTATACAAAGTCTGATGGTAAATTATTGTGAAAAATTATTATGATTTTTTTATGAGATTTCCATGTAGTAGGTTGGCTGTGTAGTAACCAGCCCTGGTGCTGATCCACCAATTAGCATTGTGTGTTTGCAATCCATGTCAAGTATAACTGAATTCCTCAGTAGCATCAGGTATCAAGGAGCACTTGATGCATTGCTGTGTTTGGTCACAAAACAACAATAAAGGTTGACATTGAGTTAATATTCAATTTTGGTTCATTTATGCTTCTAAAACCAGCACTTAATTTTTCTATTATTAAGTGTTAAATAAGTCTCCACACAGAAAGTGTGGAATTTTAAAAGAACAGTTTCCTTTTATTTACTATCTTGTTGTCAAAGAAACGTGATAGAACTGATCCTAAAGCTTATACAGAGCTATAGACTCAAATTCTCTTAACCTGTACGTCATGTGGCTTTAGTAGATTCTTGAATTTCTGTCTGAAATGTCGTTATTTAAAAAGGAGAGATTATTCATTTATCACATTGTCAAGTTGGATGTGTTAACCAAGTATTTACCAAGATAATAGAATGTAGAATTACATACTTAACAGAGGCACTTCTAGCGCTAACTTCATTAGTCATTTGGGGTTTACACTTCCACCATATCAGATAGGACCAGTCTGTGACTCCATGTGGCGATGTGCAATTGCTAACTTGGCTATGTGGTATACACCTATGGCCTGTTGTACTGTGAGGCTTTCATGCTGACATGCTTTTTGCCACCTGTTGGGAACCTGCTTGACTGCACTTGATGTACCATTATTTATTTGAAGAGGAATATAGAAAATAGCACATTTTAGATAAGATATGCTTATTCTTAGTGGTACCTTTTTGAAAAGCCAACCTGAACATTGGCTGATGCTTACTTGAACTACTGGTTAGTTCACGTGATTTGAGAATAATTTTGTCTGTCCTTGACTCCTTGTATTGGAACACTGTGAAGTTGGTTTCCCATAGACTTGTTGCAGATTGTGTCATAACATGTGATCCAAACCTAGTGTTTTAAATTGTTAATCATTCATTCATGTTATCCACAGAATATGATTTCTATGTACCATTTATATGAAGCTGTACATGCAAACAAAGTTCGTTCCATCTTTACTAACTAATCTCGTTAGTACTTTTTCTATGAGGTTTGCTGCTTTTTTTTTTGACTTAATTCAGCTTTACTTGAACCAACACGATTTGGTTGGAATTATAAATGCATGCTGATT